GTGGGGTGGGGTGTGTGTGTGTGGGGTGGGGTGTGTGTGTGTGGGGTGGGGTGTGTGTGTGTGGGGTGGGATGTGTGTGTGTGTGGGGTGGGATGTGTGTGTGTGGGGTGGGGTGTGTGTGTGTGGGGGGTTGGGGGTGTGTGTGTGGGGTGGGGTGTGTGTGTGTGGGGTGGGGTGTGTGTGTGTGGGGTGGGGTGTGTGTGTGTGTGGGGTGGGGTGTGTGTGTGGGGTGGGGTGTGTGTGTGTGGGGTGGGGTGTGTGTGTGGGGTGGGGTGTGTGTGTGTGGGGTGGGGTGTGTGTGTGTGGGGTGGGGTGTGTGTGTGTGGGGTGGGATGTGTTTGGAATGTGTGTGTGGTGGGGTGTGTGTGTGTGGAGTGGGGTGTGAGTGTGGGGTGGGGCGTGTGTGTGTGGGGCGGGGTGTGTGTGTGTGGGATGTGTGTGTGTGTGTGGGATGTGTGTGTGTGGGATGTGTGTGGTGGGATGGATGTGTGTGTGGGGTGGATGTGTGTGTGGGGTGGGAGGGTTGTGTGTGTGGGGTGGGGTTATGTGTGTGTGGGGGGGGGAGGGGGAGGGTTGTGTGTGTGGGGTGGGGTGTGTGTGTGTGGGGTGGGGTGTGTGTGTGGGGTGGGGTGTGTGTGTGTGGGGTGGGGTGTGTGTGTGTGGGGTGGGGTGTGTGTGTGGGGTGAGGTGTGTGTGTGTGTGGGGGGTGGGGTGGTGTGTGTGTGTGGGGGGGTGGGGTGTGTGTGTGTGTGTGGGGTGGGGTGTGTGTGTGTGTGGGGTGGGGTGTGTGTGCTTTGCACTCTTTCATTCACAGCTTGTACAATGTACACAGGTTGATCAATTTTTCTAACATGACACTAAGTTCCACTGAAATGTGAAAAAAAGTGAAAAGTATCCTGGGGCATATTTTGTGTGAAAATAGGGATAATTGTGTAGTGCCCATGCCATATTTGAGACAAACAGCAGACTCATAATTAAGGATAGCCTTTTCATTAGAGAGAGAGAAAAATATATATATATATTCTAAAAATAGGAAACAAAAATTTGAAAATTGGGTACAAATGCAATAGCCACACTATTTCTGAAGAATATAAAACATACCCAATCTTCATTACACAAATGAGATCATCTTATTTTACATACCAGCATTTATATCATCAATGATACATACATCAACATATGACTCTGTAAAAGGGAGGTGGGAGTAATGTTTCTTTGCCATGAATACTCTGTTCAGAAGCCACAGATCATAATGCAGATTTAGTTTTTAAAATTTTGTTATATACAGATGGCTCCACTTGTGTGTGTGTGGGATGGGGTGTGTGTGTGTGGGGTGGGGTGTGTGTGTGGGGTGAGGTGTGTGTGTGTGTGGGGGGTGGGGTGGTGTGTGTGTGTGGGGGGGTGGGGTGTGTGTGTGTGTGTGGGGTGGGGTGTGTGTGTGTGTGTGGGGTGGGGTGTGTGTGTGTGTGGGGTGGGGTGTGTGTGTGTGGGGTGGGATGTGTGTGTGGGGTGGGATGTCTGTGTGGGGTGAGATGTGTGTGGGGTGGGATGTGTGTGTGGGGTAGATGTGTGTGTGGGGTGTGATGTGTGTGGGGTGGATGTGTGTGTGGGGTGGATGTGTGTGTGGGGTGTGATGTGTGTGGGGTAGATGTGTGTGGGGTGGATGTGTGTGGGGTGTGATGTGTGTGTGGGGTGTGACGTGTGTGTGAGGTGTGACGTGTGTGTGGGGTGTGATATGTGTGTGGGGTGTGATGTGTGTGTGGGGTGTGACGTGTGTGTGGGGTGTGACGTGTGTGTGGGGTGGGACGTGTGTGTGGGGTGGGATGTGTGTGTGGGGTGAGATGTGTGTGGGGTGGGATGTGTGTGTGGGGTGAGATGTGTGTGGGGTGTGATGTGTGTGTGGGGTAGATGTGTGTGGGGTGGATGTGTGTGTGGGGTGGGGTGTGTGTGTATGGGGTGGGGTGTGTGTGTGTATGGGGTGGGGTGTGTGTGTGTGGGGTGGGGTGTGTGTGTGTGGGGTGGGGTGTGTGTGTGTGGGGTGGGGTGTGTGTGTGTGGGGTGGGGTGTGTGTGTGTGGGGTGTGTGTGTGTGGGGTGGGGTGTGTGTGTGTGGGGTGGGGTGTGTGTGTGTGTGGGGTGTGTGATGTGTGTGAGGTGGGATGTGTGTGGGGTGGGATGTGTGTGTGGGGTGGGATGTGTGTGTGGGGTGGGATGTGTGTGTGGGGTGGGATGTGTGTGTGGGGTGGGATGTGTGTGTGGGGTGGGGTGTGTGTGGGGGTGTGATGTGTGTGTGGGGGTGTGATGTGTGTGTGGGGGTGTGATGTGTGTGTGGGGTGTGATGTGTGTGTGGGATAGATGTGTGTGGTGGGTGTGATGTGTGTGTGGGGTGTGATGTGTGTGGGGTAGATGTGTGTGGGGTGTGATGTGTGTGGAATGTGTGTATGGGGTGGGGTGTGTGTGGGGTGTGATATGTGTGTGGGGTGTGATATGTGTGTGGGGTGGGATGTGTGTGGGGTAGATGTGTGTGGGGTGGATGTGTGTGTGGGGTGTGATGTGTGTGGGGTGCGATATGTGTGTAGGGGGATGTGTGCATGTGTCAGGGATGCGTGCATGTGTGAGGTGGGATGTGTGTGGGGTGGATGTGTGTGTGGGGTGTGATGTGTGTGGAATGTGTGTGTGGGTTGGGATGTGTGTGTGGGGTAGATGTGTGTGGGGTGGATGTGTGTGTGGGGGTGTGATGTGTGTGTGGGGGTGTGATGTGTGTGTGGGGGTGTGATGTGTGTGTGGGGTGTGATGTGTGTGTGGGATAGATGTGTGTGGTGGGTGTGATGTGTGTGTGGGGTGTGATGTGTGTGGGGTAGATGTGTGTGGGGTGTGATGTGTGTGGAATGTGTGTATGGGGTGGGGTGTGTGTGGGGGTGTGATGTGTGTGTGGGGGTGTGATGTGTGTGTGGGGGTGTGATGTGTGTGTGGGGGTGTGATGTGTGTGTGGGGTGTGATGTGTGTGTGGGATAGATGTGTGTGGTGGGTGTGATGTGTGTGTGGGGTGTGATGTGTGTGGGGTAGATGTGTGTGGGGTGTGATGTGTGTGGAATGTGTGTATGGGGTGGGGTGTGTGTGGGGTGTGATATGTGTGTGGGGTGTGATGTGTGTGGGGTGGGATGTGTGTGGGGTAGATGTGTGTGGGGTGGATGTGTGTGTGGGGTGTGATGTGTGTGGGGTGCGATATGTGTGTAGGGGGATGTGTGCATGTGTCAGGGATGCGTGCATGTGTGAGGTGGGATGTGTGTGGGGTGGATGTGTGTGTGGGGTGTGATGTGTGTGGAATGTGTGTGTGGGTTGGGATGTGTGTGTGGGGTAGATGTGTGTGGGGTGGATGTGTGTGTGGGGTGTGATGTGTGTGGGGTGGATGTGTGTGTGGGGTGTGATGTGTGTGTGGGGTAGATGTGTGTGGGGTGGATGTGTGTGGGGTGTGTTTTTGTTGTGTGGGGTGGTTGTGATGTGAGTGTGGGTGTTGATGTGTGTGTGGGTTGGATGTGTGTGTGGGGTTGTGATGTGTGTGGGGGTGTGATGTGTGTGTGGGGTTTGATGTGTGTTGTGGGGGTGTGATGTTGTGTGTGGGTGTGTGATGTGTGTGTGGCGGTGTGATGTGTGGTGTGGAATAGTGTGTTGTGGTGGGTGTGATGTGTGGTGGGAGTGTGATGTGTGTGGGGGTGATGTGTTGGGGCTGTGATGTGTGGTGTGTGAATGTGTGTATGGGGTGGGGTGTGTGTGGGGTGTGATATGTGTGTGGGTGGATATGTGGTGGCGGTGGGATGTGTGTGGGGTAGATGTGTGTGGGGTGGATGTGTGTGTGGGGTGTGATGTGTGTGGGCGTTGCGATAGTGTGTAGTGGGGATGTGGGCATGTGCAGGGATTGCGTGCATGGTGAGGTCGGGATGTTTGTGGTGTGGATGTGTGTGGGGTTGTGAGTGTGTGAAGTGTGGGTGGGTTGGGATGTGTGTGTCGGGGTAGATGTGTGTGGGGTGGATGTGTGTGGGGGTGTGATGTGTGTGTGGGGTGGATGTGTGTGTGGGCGTGTGATGTGTGTGTGGGGTGTGATGTGTGTGTGGGATAGATGTGTGTAGGTGGGGGACTGTCGCGTGTGGGGTGTGATGTGTGTGGGGTCAGATGGTGTAGTGTGGGGTGTGATGTATGTGTGGAATGTGTGTATGGGGTGGGGTGTGGTGGGGGTGTGATGTGTGTGTGGGGTGCTTTGTGATGTGTGTGTGGGGGTGTGATGTGTGTGTGGGGGTGTGATGTCGTGTTGGGGTGTCGATGTGTGGTGGGATAGATGTGTGTGGTGGGTGTGATGTGTGTGTGGGGTGTGATTGTGTGGGGGGTGTGTGTGGGGTGTGATGTGTGTGGAATGTGTGTATGGGGTGGGTGTGTGGTGGGGTGTGATATGTGTGTGGGGTGTGATGTGTGTGGGGTGGATGGTGTGGGGTAGATGTGTGTGGGGTGGATGGTGTGTGGGGGTGATGTGTGTGGGGTGCGGATATGTGTGTAGGGGGCTGTGTGCATGTTGTCAGGGATGCGGCATGTGTGAGGGGAGGTTGTGTGGGGGTGGATGTGTGTGTGGGGTGTGATGTGTGTGGAATGTGTGGTGGGGTTGGGATGTGTGTGGTTGTAGATGTGTGTGGGGTGGATGTGTGTGTGGGGTGTGATCGTGTGTGGGGTGGATGTGGTGTGTGGGGTGGGGGTGTGATGGTGTGGGGGTAGATGTGTGTGGGGTGGATGTGTGTGGGGTGTGATGTGGGTGGGGTGTGAGTGTGTGTGGGGGGTGATGTGTGTGTGGGGTGGGATGTGTGTGTGGGGTGTGATGTGATGTGTGTGGGGGGTGTGATGTGTGTGTGGGGTGTGATGTGTGTGTGGGGTGAGATGTGTGTGGGGTGCTTTGTGATTTGTGTGTGGGGTAGATGTGTGTGGGGTGGTGTGTGTGTGGGGTGGGGTGTGTGTGTGTGGGGTGGGGTGTGTGTGTGTGGTGGGGTGTGATGTGTGTGAGGTGGGATGTGTGTGTGGGGTGGGATGTGTGTGTGGGGTGGATGTGTGTGTGGGGTGGGATGTGTGTGTGGGGTGGGATGTGTGTGTGGGGTGGGATGTGTGTGTGGGGTGGTGGGATGTGTGTGGGGGTGATGTGGTGTGGGGTGTGTGGATGTGTGTGGGGGTGTGATATGTGTGGGGGTGTGATGTGTGTGTGGGGTGTGATGTGTGTGTGGGGTGTGATGTGTGTGTGGGGTGTGATGTGTGTGTGGGGTGTGATGTGTGTGTGGGGTGTGATGTGTGTGTGGGGTGTGATGTGTGTGTGGGGTAGATGTGTGTGGGGTGTGATGTGTGTGATGGGTGTGATATGTGTGTGGGGTGTGATATGTGTGTGGGGTGGGATGTGTGTGGGGTGGAATGTGTATGTGGGGTGTGATGTGTGTGGGGGAGATGTGTGTGGGGTGGATGTGTGTGTGGGGTGTGATGTGTGTGGGGTGCGATATGTGTGTAGGGGGATGTGTGCATGTGTCAGGGATGCGTGCATGTGTGAGGTGGGATGTGTGTGGGGTGGATGTGTGTGTGGGGTGTGATGTGTGTGGAATGTGTGTGTGGGTTGGGATGTGTGTGTGGGGTAGATGTGTGTGGGGTGGATGTGTGTGTGGGGTGTGATGTGTGTGGGGTGGATGTGTGTGTGGGGTGTGATGTGTGTGTGGGGTAGATGTGTGTGGGGTGGATGTGTGTGGGGTGTGATGTGTGTGTGGGGTGTGATGTGTGTGTGGGGTGTGATGTGTGTGTGGGGTGGGATGTGTGTGTGGGGTGGGATGTGTGTGTGGGGTGTGATGTGTGTGTGGGGTGAGATGTGTGTGGGGTGTGATGTGTGTGTGGGGTAGATGTGTGTGGGGTGGATGTGTGTGTGGGGTGGGGTGTGTGTGTGTGGGGTGGGGTGTGTGTGTGTGTGGGGTGTGATGTGTGTGAGGTGGGATGTGTGTGTGGGGTGGGATGTGTGTGTGGGGTGGGATGTGTGTGGGGTGGGATGTGTGTGTGGGGTGGGATGTGTGTGTGGGGTGGGGTGTGTGTGGGGGTGTGATGTGTGTGGGGGGGTGATGTGTGTGTGGGGTGTGATGTGTGTGGGGTAGATATGTGTGCAGGGTGTGATGTGTGTGGTGGGGTGTGATGTGTGTGTGGGGTGTGATGTGTGTGTGGGGTGTGATGTGTGTGTGGGGTGTGATGTGTGTGTGGGGTGTGATGTGTGTGTGGGGTGTGATGTGTGTGGGTAGATGTGTGTGGGGTGTGATGTGTGTGTGGGGTGTGATATGTGTGTGGGGTGTGATATGTGTGTGGGGTGGGATGTGTGTGGGGTGGATGTGTATGTGGGGTGTGATGTGTGTGGGGGGCAGATGTGTGTGGGGTGGGATATGTGTGTGGGGGGATGTGTGCATGTGTCAGGGATGTGTGTGTGGGGGGGGGGATGTGTGCATGTGTCAGGGATGCGTGCATGTGTGAGGTGGGATGCGTGTGGGGTCAGATGTGTGTGTGGGGTAGATGTGTGTGGGATGGATGTGTGTGTGGGGTGTGATGTGTGTGTGGGTTGGGATGTGTGTGGGGTGGGATGTGTGTGTGGGGTGGGATGTGTGTGGGGTGGATGTGTGTGTGGGGTGTGATGTGTGTGTGGGGTGTGATGTCTGTGTGGGGTGTGATGTGTGTGGTGTGGGGTGTGTGGGGGGTGTGGGATGTGTGTGGGGGGTGGGATGTGTGTGGAATGTGTGTGGTGGGGTGTGTGTGTGGGTGGGATGTGTGTGTGTAGGGTGGGGTGTGTGTGTAGGGTGGGGTGTGTGTGTGGGGTAGGGTGTGTGTGTGGGGTGGGGTGTGTGTGTGGGGTGGGGTGTGTGTGGGGTGGGTGTGTGTGTGGGGTGGGGTGTGTGTGTGGGGTGGTGTGTGTGTGTGGGTAGGATGTGTGTGTGGGTGGGATGAGTGTGTGGGAGGAATGTGTGTGTGTGGGTGGTATGTGTGGGGGATGTGTGCATGTGTGGGGGGATGTGTGCATGTGTGGGTAGGATGTGTGTGTGGGTGGAATGTGTGGGGTGGGATGTGTGTGTGGGAGGATGTGTGTGTGGAGTAGGATGTGTGTTTGAGGGAATGTGTGCGTGTGTGGGGGATGTGTGCCTGTGTGGGAGGATGTGTGTGTGGGGTAGGATGTGTGCTTGAGGGAATGTGTGCCTGTGTGGGATGGGGTGTGCGTGTGTGGGGTAGGATGTGTGTGGGGTGGGATGTGTGTGTGGGGTGTGGGGGATGTGTGGGTATGTCATTGTGTGTGTGATGATGTATGGGGTGTGTGTGTGGGGGGATGTGTGTGTGTTGGGATATGTATGGGGTGTGTGGGGATGTGTATGGGGATGTGTGTAGGGGGATGTGTATGTGTGGGGATGTGTGTAGGGGGATGTGTATGTGTGGGGATGTGTGTAGGGGGATGTGTATGTGT